ATCCTCCAGGAGCAGCTGGAGCATCGCACAGACGCTAGTACGCACGCGTGCACTGCGCGCGTACACGAGGATGCCGCCGCCGGCCCCGTTCCAACCGAACCGGTTGGAACGGGGCGAGAAACCCACCCCTGACTTATAGCAACCCCAGATGATCAGGGAGAAAACTGGAAGAGCAGCTGTTGGGCTGGCAAGGGCAAAATGTGAAGAATACACCGGCAGGCTTTTGGTGCCTGGCAAGGGGAAGAGTCCCCGGGGTACTGCCATGCAGGCAGGCAATTTAGCACGACAGGCTTTAGGGACCACTTTTTCAGATCAAGCGTCTTCCTCAGCGGGCAGGGTGAGATGCACAGGAGGTGTGAGACGGTTTGGGCACAGCAGGCTCTTTTCTGATGTTATAACAAACGTGCCATTTCTAAGATCGTTTTGAAACCCATCTTTATTGGTGCCACTGTTCAGTTGCAACAGATGGATAGGACTCTCTCTGGAGACGGCTTTGAAAAAAAATAATCATGCTTGTAACACTAGGAGTACATTTTCCTTTGAAAGGAATGGAAAAGTTCCTGAATTTGGGCTCCACCTTACATATATTAATCTTGTTGCAAAAGGACACACTTGGAAGCATGATGAGACCCCCACTCTCTTCATGTGCTTGGCAGTTTTCCCTTCTTCCTTCAGTCACCAGAAAAGCTACCTCTATTGCGTCCCCCTTTGGGATCCTCCCCTCACCCCCTGACATATACAGCTGGGTTGGAGCGTCTCTTCTCCTGGCTCTAGGCACAAAATTAATTCAAGGCTTTTGCCACACCTATAACTGCCCCGCTCCTCAAGCCCCCTCTGCTGAACCCCCAAGAAAGTGGGGGAACGGTCGGAATGTGGCTTGTGGGAGGAGGGCGGTTGGCTTTGATTGTGAACCTGAAGGGCAAGCCAGCTAAGTGTCACCGGGGGCTCTCAGGGGCCCAGTTCGTGGGCCAAAAGCCCCCCCAGGAGCAGCTGGTCTTTTTGCGATACCCGTTTCTCTAGGCGGTGGGAGGGGGCTCATTTCCAGAAGAGCCTGAGGGACAGGACGGAGCTCTTCCAGCATTTGTTCAGCCCCGAAAGCGTACTTCTGAGGACCCCTTGCCAGAGAGGTTGGGCATCTGCAACCTTGGAGAGCTAAGAACTTCCCCAAGAATGGTGCAACTGGTAACAATGCAGAATTTGACCAGTTTTCTGCCCAAAAAGAAGCAGAATGGAGGGAACGGCGCTGACTTTTGCTCTAATCAGAGATATAAGGTGGCCACATACATGGGCCACACGTCACTAAATTTAAGCATACACTCAGCCAGAGGTGGGTTCCTACCAGTTCGCACCTATTCGGTAGAACCGGTTCGTCAAATCTACCGAACCGGTTAGAAGAGGTTCCACCAGAAAGCAAGCCACACCTACAGAAGAGGTTCCATAATTTTTTGAAACCCACCACTGCCACACACACACACACACAGAGAGAGAGAGAGACAGAGACAGAGACAGAGACAGACAGAGAGAGAGAGAGAGAAAGAGAAAGGAAGAAATAAATAAAGAAAAAAGAAGAAAGAAAGAAAAAGAGTGAGAGAGAGAGATGAAAGAAAAAAAGAAAAAAGGGACAGAGAGACAAAAGGATGGAGAGAGAGAGAAAGAGAGAGAGGGAGAGAGAGAGAGAGAGGGAGAGAA